GCTATTTTTGGAAGTTTGCCAGTTGGCTAATTTGTTAATTATTTTGGCCTTTAGTGGAGGCTTTACTGTTATCGCTATTATATCTCTCATAAGCATTCATTGAAGCCCTTTATTCTCTGCTGATGCCAGTTTCTCCATGAAGAGATATACATTTTTCCCCTCTTTTTACGCTAGATTTATGTTATGTGTTTTTAGTAACACTTCAAAGGGGTTTTTAGCAAATTTTTACGCTTTTTCGGCTTATTTTTGCATTTTTCCGATTGATTAATGAAGCTGATCTGCAGAGTTTCCCTGTAGCTGTTTTGGCCACATGCCAAAAGCATATACGCCAGGCTCCGTTATTCTCTTATGACTGTAAGTTATTAAAATTTGATGAAATCTATGTTTTATTTTAGTTTTCCGAACTGTCTACGAAGGCAACGATAATGTATTCATTGGTGCACCACATGGAAGCGGTAAAACAGTTTGTGCGGAATTCGCAATTCTCCGTCATTTTGACAATAGCCCCGAGGCAAAAGCTGTATACGTAACACCAATGGAGGATTTGGCCGAGAAAGTAAGCAATTTGTGCATTGAAATAACGCGGTAGGGGGCAGGGGATCAGTCTGGGTGATATTTGTAAGAAGACATATTAGGATGCATTCTGTGTTTCATCCCTTAGCTATTAAAACACAAATCAAATGGATTATGCAAGTAAATATCGTGAAGGGGTTTGATTATTTAGGTTTAGAGAAAAAATATGAGTAGAAAAACAATGAAAAGGTTCTAAAGAATTATTTAAGTAGGTAAGAAATGTTCCGGTCCGTTAAGTCGTATACATTTCTTACCTTTACCACAATTGAACCTCGTCAATACGACGATTGTGGTAAAAGAATTTTGAGAGGTAATTTAGTAAGATGGAAAAAATAAGCTAGTTGATATGTCTGAAAACTAAAAGGTGGAAGGAAAAGTAAAAGAAAAAATTAGAAGTAGAAGGAAAAGTAGAAGAAAATTATTTCACTTGTATATTGATGCTGTGTTTTGCTATTTCCAGTGGATGCCCTGTTATGATTTTTGTTATTTTTTTTTTTTTTTCATTGAAGTAGCTTTCAAGTTTTCTATCATTTCATTGATGTAGCTTCTGAGCACTTCTCTCACCTACCTGACATGGTAAGGTTGGGTCCAGTTGTGGTAATGGTAAGAAATGTATACGACTTGGTGAATCGAGACATTTCTTACGGTTATAATAATTTTATCAAAATTATTTTGCTACTTTTACTAGTTCCATTAATATTATTTTCTCTGCTATTCTTCTTATTTCAAAATACCTTTCTATCAAAAATCGCGAAGATACGTTAGGTATGGCTGCTCAAAGATTCTTGTGAAACGTCTTTTTTTTATTTCTTATTGTTTCGATTCCGATTGCTTGACCTTTGCACCTTCCTACCAAATCAGGATACACCAAAAAATTTACGGTTTTGTCTGATACCGCAGATTTTTTGCCAATTTTAGAGGATTAAAGCATAATTGTTTTGCTATGGCTCTTCTTTCGACATCTTTAATAAAAACTTCTCCAGCTGGTCCAGTCCTCAGCTCGTTTTGGCTCTGAATTTTTGATTTGCTTATCTTTTTTTTTGCTTTTTTTTTCAGGTTGCCAGTGATTGGCAAGAAAGAATTGGAGGTGCCTTGGATCGAACGGTAGTAATGTTAACTGGAGAGCCATCCACGGATTTGAAGTTGCTTCAGCGGGGCCAGTTGATTATAGCAACCCCAGAAAAATGGGATAATGTAAGTCGACGATGGAAACAGCGCAAGAATGTTCAGGCTGTGCGTCTCTTC